TGTAAAATATGGTCAATATGCTTTTTTCGGCATTCTACCATGTTTTGGTAGACTATACGAATAGCCAATGAAAAGGGAAGTTGCTCTGGGTCCGCTCTGCACTGAATCAATCATGTGCTGAATTAGAACCAAGTAGCAAACAACTGTGTAGTAGCAGGCTGCAGCTACACGCAACCACAGCACTTAAACACGTGGAGCCAACAGCACTGTTGGTGAGAAAAAAAAGAAAATGAGTGCTACCCCCAGCAGAAATGCAGATGAAGGCTCAACAGATTACAACATCGTTGACAACACTGGCACGAAAACATTGGTGGTGTGGAGGTATTTTGGTTTGTTGAGGTCAGACATGAAGCAGAGTAATGTGCACTGCAAATTATGTTGAGTTCATGTTCCCACAAAGTCGGGGAATAACTCAATTCTTTTTCACCACCTGAAGCAGTGCCACACAGCAGAGCACGCACAATGGAAAAAGTTAGTAAGGAGTCCATGGCGCCTGTGCAGCCAAAACAGCCGACCATTCAGTCCGCTTTCTCTAACACAACACCTTACGACAAAATGTTGAAGAGACACAAAGACCTCAGATGTGGTAGCTTATTGTATTGCAAAAGACATGCTACCAATAAGCACTGTTAAATTTCATTTTTTTATATCATGATATGTATCGATATCAATTGATATGAGAAAAAATATATTGTGATAAACTTTTTCCCATATTGCCCTGCCCTAGGGGAATCTTGAGCTCGGTGTGAGCGATATTTGCTACTTATGAATGAGACTCAGCATGAAAAGTCATTTTTCTTCTTATGTGGAGTGTACTGGGTGTCTGACAGGAGGTCAACAGTTAGCACTGTTGTGATGACTCTCATGTCTATATGTATGAAGCAGTTATTGGACATAACTGTCCCTGAGATGTGGTGATAAATCCACTTCACGCTCTGTTTGCAGGTTGGAGAGTCGCATGTCGACGGACATTGGAGCCATCATGCAGCTGCTGCAGAGACAGATGGCCCTTGTACCTCCTGCCTACAGCGCTGTCTCATCACCACCTCAGGTAATAACACACACAAACACACTCAGTGGGAGGATGTGCGTGGAGGCGTGACGTTTGTTGTCACAAATGATGTAACAACGAAATCTGTCCTCGGCATGACTAAAACACTGAATCTACAGACAGTCAGTGTAAAGGAGAGATTTGATTGTATTTATCTGTTATTTTGACTTTCTGCTGATGAGATGTCGTCTCTCGTTTTAGGCTTCACCTTATCCGGGACCTGGTCCAGGATCTGGCTCGGGAGAGATGCTGGTGCAGCCTGTCACACCTCTGGAGACAGACACGCTTGCTTCTCTATCACAGGTATGACTTTATAATAAACAAAAATGTCAGACAACTGAGAGGTTAACAAGCTCGCAGCTTTGAGACACTTTATTAGCTACCTAGTACATCCACTGTTCTGTCTTTACTCCTCCTTGTTGGTTCAATGTTTTTCAGGACATAGTCAGGGAATTGTCCAGATAAGTAGCCAGGGGTGGGATTGCAAAATCCTGAACCATGATTGGCCATTTGTTTTGTCAGAGGCGGGACTAGAAGACCTGTGCTGTGTAATATTTCCTCTCAGTCCCACTGAGTGTGTTTTTCTTCTCCTGCAGATCTTGGATTCCCAGGATTTTGAAGAGTTCCCAGCCAAGCCTCTGGACTCCCTGCAGCCCCAAGACTCTTCTCTGATCAACACCAGCCAGACCCAGCTCTCCCCCTCTGGACTGGACAGCTTGGGCCAGAATCTGGAGCTTGAGCTGGGTTTGGGGACTGGAAGTGGGGTGATTTCAGGAGCAGCAGTGGGTTCAGGTTTAGCGTTAGATTTAGTAAGTGGGCCAGCTGTGGGGTCAAGCTTAGGAGCGGGATTAGACTTTGGATCAGGGGTGTGTGGGGGGGCTGGAGTTGGGACAGCTACAGGACCAGGGGTCTCTACTTTTGATCCTGAAACTCAAAGGAGGCTGTCTCTGCAAGAACCACAGACACCTCTGGACTCACGGACACCTCAGAGACATAGCTCTGACCCAGGGGGGAGCTAAGGAAGAGGGAAAGGGGGAGGAGAGTGGGATGGAAGGAGGGATAGAGAGAGAGAATAAGAGTGAAGTTTTCTTCCTCAGTCCCTTCTGTTTTCCTCATGGCACTTTGGAGATCAACGGGCACCTACTGTACCTACAACCCTTTAGGGAACCCTGCTGCTGTATCCTCTCTGCTAACATTTCTGCTCTGACCTCTGAAGAAAGGACGACCAGCCCAGAGGGATGGTGAGGGATGAAGGAAAAGGGATGAGCCCTCTCTCTCTGTCTCTCTCCTTCACAAGCCTTCCCTCCTCCTCGTGACACATCTGGAGCTTTCTGAACTCCACAGCGGTACAACCTTTAACCAAAACCACAAACAGAGCGGAGAGGAGCTCTGCTTCTTAACAAACACGCTCCAGGTCAACCCAGACTGATCTGGTCTGAACCTCTAAGATGTGCGCTGAGGATGACAGATCTTCACGCACAAATATTAAGACTGCTGAGCTGTAGAAGAATCCCTTTACTGCTGTATCCAGCTTTGGATGACTGACAAGAACAAGAAAAGACAACAACAGACAGAATCTTGATGAAACAAGTAGCCATTTACGTCTTGCACTGAAAATCCTATTGATACAATGATTATTCTATTCTCTATGTCCGCAGCGCTTCCGATAAACTCACAAACTGGTTGGTAAACTGTAGTGTTAGCTGGCCTAACAGGAAACCTGCTGTCCCGTTCTCTTATTGGTTCCTTCCCCCCTGATGTCCTGCCCTGAGAGGCGGAGCCTATGCTCCCCACCCCCTTTCCCAAGAGCACACTGGATTGGCTGGTTTGCACCTCAGGGGAGGGAACTGGAGGGTTAAAAGCCATGATAAACTCGATGAACATATCAGCTGCCCGATCATAAACATTGTACAGATTTGCAAGTGAGTGAAGATCCTATGGCATGCTTAGGCAGAGTCACAAACAGGTAAACTGGCAAACTTACAAGTTTACCACAAGAACAAAGCACCACAAATAACAAAGTTTAGATATTCAAATGAGCAGGAAAACACAGCTAACTAAATCTTTCAGCTAGGAGATGTGATTTTACAGAGAACCAGAGAAGTTATGTGTGAAGTGATGGCGTCTAAAATGCGTTGGATCTTGCCTGCTTTGATTTTTTAAACTCAAAGCACATGTAAGTTTGAGATTTTAAACACAAAAAAAAGAAGTTGAGTGATTCTCGTTGAGTTGAATTTGCTACCTCAGATTTCATTGGTCCTTACTTTGTTCACCTGATCGAGCACCCAGAATGCTTTTACCTTGTACATACCGGTTTGTCATGTGATACGTAAATATTCAAGTTTGCCAGTTTACAATGACCAGCCGAATGCGCCATTATTATTCTATGTAAGGTACAATATGCAAACACTGTCAAAAAGAGTGTGTGCGCTTTAAAGTAATCATTTAGTGTGTGATGAGTTCAGGTCCAAAGCTTTTTATGTGTGTGTGTGTGTGTGTTTGTTATGGTTTAAGTTGTTTTTGCCTTTCAGTCCGCAGTGCATGGCGTTGAGTTTGTTTGCTCCCACACACTGGACTCTGATGGTAGAGAAACATTTCCTGTAATCGCCCCCGAACTGATTTTTATGGAAGTGTTAACAAAAAAAAAAAAAGATTTGAGTGTTTGAGTTTGTAGTTTAGACAGAAAAATGAACCCTTTTACAAAGTAGACCCTGAATTTTAACTGTAGAGGTGATTCTAGAAAAAAAAAGATTAGACATCTAAGTCATGTTTTGAAATAAAACTTTTCCCCCTATGCTGACATATCCACATAAAACAAAACCTGATTAGCTGTCCGCAGAGACATAAATGTCAAATGGCAGAGGTGACTATGAAGACAGTGCGGTTGTGAATATTTAGGTGGAGTCTGGATAGCTCAGGGCAGAAAGAGATGTATGAAGTAATAAGAGCAGGTGCAATGATCCCTTCAGACTGTAAAATTTCACAGATATACTCCATAAGTTTTTTTTTTCTTTCTGCAATTTCAACAAAATCTGCATCTTCTGTCTTAGCCTCAGTTCTAAAACAGAGTTTAGGATGCTGTGGAAAATCTTGATAAAACCAGGATTTTATGATTTGCAAATCACTTAAAACCAGTGAATGATTGAGACTGTGCAAAGACAACCTATCAAATGTAGAAATTCTTTATTTTTTTCCTCCAGATGGAAAACATATCCATTCTGAATTTGATTCCAGCAACTCATTAAAAAAAATCTGACAGGGGTACTTTTACCATTGTGTTGCATAACATCTACTTCATACAACACAACAAAAACTGGCGACCAAGATGGAGCTATGAAAGTGAAATCTTGTCTTATTTAAGCTCAATATTTCTATAACTCAATTTTTCATTGATTTTGAAATTGGTACATGACATGTTCATGCCTCAAATGAGACCCTCTGTTGACCACAAAGAAGAGATAATGATAAGCAAGTAAAATAAATTTGTAAAAAAAAAAGAGGTGGCCAAGGAATATAAGATCCCTGTGTCAGAGAGATAAAAAAACTACATATTTGATTCCACCCATATTGGTCCCTCGACATGGTTTCTGCCCATCATGGTGGTCAGCATAGATTCATATGAGGCTGTTCTTGTCTTAAAACAGATCAGTTCTTTCATTTCTGGGCGTTTATTCAACCTCCAGTGTCTCAAGATTGTTCTAGCAGCTGTAATGACTCTTTTCAACAAGCTCTGCACATGTGATCTTTCTCCTAATAAGCAAATTCTTGGTGACATTGGCTCATGACTAACATTTTGACTTCAAACTTTATTTTGAAACTTTTGACGAACTTTCTCTCGCAGTTTCTCACAGATAGTCCCATTTATAGCCAGTTATGCTGCATATTAACCTCAGTCTGGAAAAAAAAATTGCATTACTCCCAACAATTTTTAAATGTGTTCTAAGAAAATAACAAAATAGTTCAGTGGCAACATTTGATATGTCTTTGCACAATTTTCAGTTCAAATTAAATCATTTGCAAACTGTTAAAATGTGTGTTTATCAGTATTTAACTTAGCATCCTCTCCTTTTTTTGGAACTGTGGTTGTAGATTTTCATCATGAGTTGCCTGGATAAGGAAAAGGGAAACTAAAATCTATTACTTCAAACTGTCTTCCTCATTAGAAAATTACACAGACAGCCCCTTTACTTGGACAGCACACATTACGACTCATACCAGAAGAGGGAAACCCTGTTGTAGTGCAATAGTCCTTTAAACAGTTCCCACTTGTAGCAGTCCTTGTTCATTTTTAGCACTTTATTTCTTAAACAGTGCAGATGTTTAATAAAGACTCAGGAACGTAATGTTGATGTTAGAAAGTTCATTTTCTTTGTCTCAAAACTCAAAACAAACCAATCAGAATGAAGGAAGAAGAAGTGAAGAAACTTTTCGCTAACAGAGTAACATGACTCTGCCCAGATTCCCCTTTAATGCAGACTTATGAAGATTGTATTTTGCTGCTTGCTGGTCGAAGCTACTGTATTTATTTATTGCTGTAGGATTTTTGCTGTTTGTCTGTGGGTTTTATTATTTGTGTTGGGTTGATGATCGGCTCATTGGGCAGAGCAAGTGAAGGCTTTGAGTGTTTCTAATGTCAATGTGCTCTTTAGTCCATAACCCTGCTGCACACTCATCAACCTTTCTCATCATTTATTCAATATTTAAGGGTAGAAGTGCAAGAGGAGTGGCACATGCTGCACCCACTGATGTTCAAATTATAAATAATTCAAACATGTTTCACAAAATTGCACAAAGACACCATAAATCCACTGAGTGCATGCAGCCTGTTTCACCGGAGTACTCAGTTAGAGGTTGGGTTACAAACTCAAGTGTCTGTGAAGATTTAGCTTTACTGTCAACCAAAGTCAACGAATACTGTCGCTATTGATCCCTGGTGACATTTTAAACTCACATGTAATTCAGCGTCTGAGTCAAAACACAAATGGTACGAAAGCTGCTGAGTGGTTGACTTTCAGAGGAGCAAATGCAACTGGATTCTGTGTGATTTTAAAGTTCAGCCAAAGATATTTTACCGTGACTTTCCTGGGTGTAATAGTGTTCGAGGCATTAGGGAGAAAGATATGCTGTGAAAAGGATGGACCATGGTTTTGTTTGTTTTTTGCACCTTAAGAATAAAAGGAAATTGTCAAGAATACATTTCTTCTTTTAGCAGTAATACCCCCAAATGAAAAAAGTTCACAATGAATTTTTGTGATATTTATGAAACAGGGCTTTAAATTCACAGTATAACCCTACTATATTTCACTGCAAAAAGTTACATCTGAGCAAGCTCATTGTTTGATGTTGGGTCAAGCCCTATAAGTAACAGTAGTAATCACAAGTACAACCTACAACATGTTGAAACTTACTAAAAAAAGAAAAGACATGCTAATTTAAATGTGATGCTAGTATCCAAACAGTTTGTCAGGGACATGGTTACCATTGTGCTGGATGACTTCCTTTTTAAACTGCCTTCTGTAACCAAGGAGACCAGTTTAAGGAGTTTTAAAAAACGGTATTCATTCACAGTGATTTTCAGTGATTTCTGGCTCATGCTGTGAATTCCACTACAGAGTCATGTCTGTTTGTAATGCAGTGCTACTTGAAGGCATATAGACCCCAGATTTCATTCAATTATCTTAATCCTTTAAAGTCTTAACAATCCGACACTCAGGAACATCATTCTGGAGTCGTTGAACCATTTGCCCACGCAGTCTCTCACAGATCCTCTCTGGGTTGCTTTTTTTTACACTTATTCATGTTGCAAGTTAACCTCATTTTTCCATTTTTTTGTCTTAAACCTGCAGCTTATTTGAGACACTTTGTATTCTCGACAAATAGACTTTATTCTTTAAGTGCAAAAACTGAAAAAGCAAACTTCCTTGTCACAATATCTGTTATGTTTTTATGCCTGGGACTAATAATCTTCTGTACCATTGGGACACTTGAAGTAGATCTTTATTTTTCTGTGATGGTGGTAACATAGATAACATAGATGTTATATTGAACATGATTAGGAAGCTAGACTCACTTTGTGAATGCAAACACTGGGGCTGTCGAGTGTAAAACAGGCTGACACTGACCAAATCTACTGAGTTCTTTCACTACTGACCCCTCTTTATTTTATATAGTTTACACCAGCAGTCCCTGCCTCTGGTCACAAGGATTACAACCAAACCCAACTCCGACAACAAGTACGGCGTAAATGTGGTTATTTAGCTTTTTTTTTTTTCTTTTTCTTTTTTTTTTTTAACAGTGCAGTGCTGAGGTGTTTTATTCTCATAAGTGGGCTCTCCTCGTCATCTCACCCTCTGTAGCGAGAGTGTTGTTAGTGTTCAATAACAGTCACCTAGTGGCCTGAACTGTATCTTTACATTCAGAACTATGACCTCAAAACTAGAATGTGCTCGTTGTCGACTCTTCTTATTTTACCTTGTATGTGTCTGTAGAACTTAGTGGAATATTCCATGCTAGAGAATACATTTATGTAATGCATACTGCATATTATTATACCAGTAGAGGGTGCACTTTGAAAATATCCATGTGGGTGGGGAGTGGGGGATTTATGGAGGTTTGAGTGTTGTACCCCCCTTTCATATGTACACACACATACAGACAGACCTGCACACACAGACACACGCCTACACACACCTTCCTTAATGGCTCTTCCATAATGCTGAGCTTTTTTCAGCTCTGTACAACTTTCTATGAGTTCTGATAGACTCGGGTCTTGTATTTGTAGATATTTTGAGCACTTGGGGAGGGGGGTTTGGAGAGGGTTTGGTACCACAACACTGGATCTGCTCTGTCACTTGCCTGTACATACCAACTTCTACGACTTGTAAAGGAATCAAACTCTTTGGCACTCGTATAGCCAGCACTATGCAGAAACTGAACATTTCTTTGGCATGCTTTGAAATGCAGAATAATATAGAGGAAAATATACTAAATAATAAAGTCTGCTCTAATTTCTTATTGAAACAATCACCTTATGGGGAAAAAAAAAGGTTTAAGACGTCCATGGTGAAATGGATATGATGATGACGATGAGGGTGATTACATGTGATTTGGATGATGAAGCTAAAGACTTTTAATATTGTGCACATTTTTACTTGCATGCTGCACTGAAAATCATCCAGCAATGAGAGGGTTTGACGTGCAAAGCAGCTGATCTTTGCTGTATGCTTGCAAACTGTGTGTAGAGTGAAACACTGAATTCTTCCGGCTTACGGGAGAGTCATATTTATATATACATATATATATACATTCTACTTCCAGGTCATGGAAGAGAGAGGTACTGAATAGCTGCAAACATAGTGATCCTAGATTATACAATATTATATTGTATATTTGTATCTTTGGCTGCAAACCACTGTAACAGAGTTGTGCATGTGTGGCAGTCCTGGGCACAAATGTTTCCCAAATATCAAGGAGCGCTTGATTTACCTTCTTTCGGTTGTGTTTCTACACTGCCGGGAAAGTTCAATCAAGTGCACCTAAAGAATCACAAATCCTGCTTTTGCCCTGCTGCGATTAGCGACAGTGTGAAGAATGACTATTTTCAGCCCTGCTGAGTGTCGTTTTTGGACGGACTCTTTCTTTCAGTGCTGAAAGTTGTGATCGGTTCCAAAACTCACTCACAGGTGTTTTGAAATAGCCCATGTCTTCAAAATACAGCAGTCCCTGGAACACCTGAATGAGCCATAAATTTATAACACTGGGCCGGCTGAAGGGTTGCTTCTCAAGGCTCATAATACATTATTCATATCAGATGTTGAAGAGAATTGGAGGGTAAATGGTGAAGCTCCAGGTTCTGATTGTGTGATAGCATTATCAATGGTTGAACTTTATAAAATTTCAAAATATTTCTTTCAATAAACCTCTTTGAAAGCTAAACCATGATGTCAGTACTTTTGTGATGAGTTTATTCTTCTGCAGTGGCTCCAGTGATTATTGTCATTCTCCAATATTTTGTCACGATTATGAGGGCCTTAGTGTGCTGAAAAAGTCTTACAAAATTCCATGTGCATCAAGCCCGGTAGAAATGGGAACTTTTTTAGAGTATTCTGTAAATCTCGTGAAAATCAACTGTTTTGTGGCCATGTGCTAGAGTCCTTTGACCAATACTTCTCATTCAATCTGCTGATGAACAGGTTTATGGGTACAAGTGACCTGAACAATAAAATACTCATGAGGCCCCGCACAAAAGTCAAAGGACGTAGTTCTCTCTAATCATTAGACATTAGACAGGAAGTCATTTTTTTCTCAGCAATGCATGTTCCAGTCTTAACCGTACTCACAAATCATAATGGAGGTCAAGACCAGTGCTTATATTTCATCCTACTTATAGTGCCTCCTAGTGGCAGTTGGAAATGTCTTGCTGTCACTTTAAATGCTACATAACACACCCTCGAGACGCTGATCTTGAAGCGTGCTAAAAACTGTGAGTGTTCATTAGAGGGTGTGGTCAACACAGAGCCGCAAAGTTCAATTTTCACATGATATATTGTCATCAAACTTTAATCTGGTCTAACTCAGCTCTACATCATAGTGCAATGTACCCTGTGCCTATAAGGGGTCTCAGCCTAAACAACCTTCCCTCAAATAGCACAAGTTGACACCAAAGCTGTTGCCATGGCAATTCTGCATTCATCATCAAACAGGCGGTCATTTTTTAAGGGCTTGTCGAATCTTGTAGAAACACCAAACACTGTACACAGAAGCCTGGTGGAGCAATGACACATTTCATACAGGTTAAGCTGCTGGCCAGTTAGCCACACCCAGATTTTCTTAACTGTTTTTAAATCACTCCTATTATTCTTGAATATCTTTTGATGAAAATAATGCACCTGGCTCTTTTTTTTTTAACATAGCATCAGCGACTGGTTAAAAATATACCAAAGAAATACAAGCATTCCATGAACTGCCTCTTATTTCAACTTAAATATTGTTCAGTTAGTTTATCTCAGTTTTGGTTAAAATCTTATTTTACTTAAATCAAGCAACATTGATATGGTAAGTCCAAATATAAATCTCATTTCAAGATATTCAAAATTTTTAAGACGGGTCCTTGAAATAAGTATGACTTCAAGTTATCAAGAAAGTTTTGCACATTTGCTGTCAGTCACACTCATTACAATTAGTTAAGTCCTCATTTCACATTTGTTGCCAATGAAGCCCAAATGTGAAATTTGACTTAATAGTCCTTTGTAAAAGATAAAAGCTCAAAGAGTGATCATGCACAGTGTAGAGCACATTAGAAAATCAATGCATGCACTGTTTAAAATAGTCACGTATGATTTGGGGCAGTGTCATTGCTCAGTCATTTGTCCTCTGGAAAAGGAAATTAGCTGCACACTTTTATTGTCGCAAAGGGACAATAACTGTTATTCATTTTTGAGTTGATCTATAATAAATACTTGCCATTGATATGTGCATTACTCTCAGGGGAGGCTGAGTGCTGTTATTTGAGCTGTACCTTTGTGATAATGTGACGCAGCACTACTTTAAAATACTGTGTTGCCAATAACAAGGTTTTCTGCACAGCCAGCCATGACTCCAGTTCAAAGGGACCATAAAGAGAATCAGGATGACTTCACACATTGATGCTATCATTTATTGCACACCATTTAGTTTGGGAAAATAAGCTTTCACATAATTTGGAAGAGAGATCTTACAGTTTTAAATTTAGTAGGCCAATTTAATTCTTCAGTACATTTCAAAAAAGAACCTTTTTTTTTTTTTTTACATTTTTTATATGAAAAAGTAATAAATGTAATGGTACTCAGCATGCATCCCTGCTAAATGAGCTAATAAAGTTAAAGGTTGTGGGATAGAGGGAGGCTGATGTTACTCATTTCTGTCGCTAGGGGTCACCAGATACCAAAATGTTTAAGGTTAACCATTCTGAAGTTTGACTGGTTTGGTTTTTCCCCTCCTTTTGAAACTCGTATTTCAGGCGTTAGTCGGTATAATAAGGAATATAATGAGCCACAAAACGCATCTATGTCATTTTTTTGACACTACGACTATGTCTTATTTTTTTTAAGTATTGTGCCTAATCGTGCATAATCACTTTAAAATGATCACAGTTAGCGTATGGAAGTGCATGTCATGGCTTAAAATGTGCTGGAAAATATCAGGCAAGAACTTTTTTAGTTGAAACAGCGATACTCCTTAAGTCAAAGTGCTCGGACAACGTGTCCCCTTCGTAACACAGGTGTGACCCTCGCTTCTGGCGGAGTCTGTATTTTCTATAATAACTAACTACTGTCATCCTGGTGACATTCCAGTCATCTAGGCGGTTTCAGGGCGTCTTCCTGGGCCTTGTCCGTATCCAGAGTCTATTCCTCCCGGCCATTGGACCGGCACCGTCCCGTAAAAGGAGTCAAAAGTTCTCTATTGTATGCACAAGGTGTCTGTCAAAAGTACATTTTGTGACGATGAAGGGCCTGTCCACGATTTGAAACCTGTGATAAGAGGATAGTAATGTCTCTCAGAATAAAGCCCATATCTTAATGGCTTAGAGTAACGTCAATCAATAAAGCCTTGCTGTGATTGGTTGAGGACTTCCCCGGGGAGGAGCAGGTTAGTCTGAGGCCAGCAGAGTTCACACTCGGGTTGGTGGATCGTAGCGGTGACAGCGACGCTCGGAGACTCCAGACAAACTGTCAAAAAACAGACAACTAACGGTGAGTCAAGTCAACATACTCATGTCAAGTTTTCCTCACGTGCGTGGGGACACACGCTGTTTGCAACAGGCGCTGAGTTGTCGCGCGGACAGGCGGGGTCTTTGTAGAAGTGAAATGACGGTGATTTTGGATGAGTGATCTCACAGCACGCATCACAGCGACGGTGTACTGCTGTAGGATAATGCTGCCTTCAGGTACTCCTCGGAAAGACGTACTCTGTCAAAGCTGTTGGTTTACTGCGCAGCGGTAATATCCTTACGTCTTTTACTGAAAACTACCAGAAGGCAGCAGTTTTACAACTTTATTAGATGTCGGTTTGCCAGCACTTGATATGGACTTTCACTTTCCCCCTTGTTACTTACTACAGTGCTGCTAAGTTCACGTGCTGCTGTGTGTGGCGGTTGGGTTGTACCCAGCAGCCCTTGAGGCAGCATGGAGCACGGTGAAGCTGCACTGTCACAGCACTCAGAGGAGTTATGCAAGCTTGCTTGAGTCTTGGTGTGTTTATAATCTGTCCATTCATCCTCAGGAGGACTCCAGGACTGAACAGCAGAGCTGCTGGTGTTTTTGTAGTTGAGCCCCATGAAGCAGACTTAATTTAAAGTCAACATTACAGTTGCATCACCTCTACTGGAAAGGTTTGTAGTTGTAGTTGCAGTATGGTTAATGCTGTATGGTTGATGATAAATCTGAAGACATTCAGAGACAAGTTCTCATGCTGTCACTGTTGTTTGAGCTCTTATCACTGCTAATCATTGGCAGATTGTCCTGAGGATGACACACACACAGAGGTATTTTTCTGCCAATCCTTTCTGTCCACAAATTCCCTCTCAGTATGTGTCAACTACAGCTGCACAATACAGAGAAAGTAACTTGAAATGGCTTTCATTCCTGCTGTGTTTTTGCATGTGAAAATAGCCTTTACGAAACAAAACCACAGGCATTGGTTTTATTTGTTATATAGCCAGAAATTAACAACCCTCTGTCTGATATTTGTTACTTTAAGTCTGTTTACCTCTCACAAAACAGAGCTCTTACTTATACCTGCTAGGCTCTGCCCTTTACCAGGAAATCTGACACTAGGGCTGCACAGAGTAAAATGTAATAATAATGATTCGAACAAGAAAGTATTTTTTAAACAGAAGAGACATCAATCTTGTGTCTGCTGTTAATTATGCTTTACACCATGCCTGTGTTTGCAGTATGCTTCTTCTAAATCTGAGATACATCGAAAGAGTTGTCATTCCAACATAAACAGTGAGTAAGCATTTGCATAATACCCAAGCCTCCTTCTAACAGGTAAAATTGACATGCTGGGATTAAAAAAAAAATACACAATGTGACATGGTTAATAGTTTATTCATTTATCATGATAAATTCACATTTCCCTTTTTTTTTTGCAAATGCTTTAAATATAATAGCAGCATATTAGCAATTTATTGTTCACCCTGAGTGCGCACATTAAAAGTATTGTTTGTGAGTAAATTTTTGCAATAAGATGTTATTTGATCAGGCAAACCAAAGGTGCACCAATATCACCTTTTTAAAAAAAAAAAATTTATGAAGCACCAATTTACAACAAATGAGGTTTCGAGCGACTCAGGTGAATATCATACTCTGTGTTTATATTACCACTGTTAATAGCTGATTTAACTAGAAGTCACATAAAAAGGTTAAGATAATAAAGTTCATTATTTATCGCTTATCTCCTAATAAAACATGTGAGAGCTTTGACAGGAAACTAAAGAGAGGGCTCATAAGTTTATCCCGAGTTACTTAAGCTTTTGCTTTTTTAAGCTATGATGATTAAGGTGACAAACTCTCCTCTATGGTAGGAATTCCCCAACACTTGAGTCTTGAAAACTACTCTGACATAAAGCAAAAAAAAACTCATAAAAAAAAAATACCAAACCAGAATTACTTCCTCATAACTGGAAATCTGCTTTTTAAAAAATGTTCTGTCTTTCAAGCTCCTTGAATTTCAAAGTTTTATTTTTCTATCAAAGTGTAGATTTTTCCTAGGATCCATAAACATACCAAACATTAGACTGTTCTGATCTGCAACTCAAAATAGTTCTGTGGCAGAAATCAATGATATGATGATGAAGGGGAATCACAGCAGAGAGGATTGTCATTCTCTCTCCCTCCTTCCC